GAGGAGAGGAGAGGAGAGGAGTCTTTTTTCTTTTTTTTTCTGCATTATCAGAGACTGGAAGTTTTTTTTCCTGTATGGCTCTGTTTTTACTCTTAAAGCTATTTCCCTTTCACTTGCAGATAAGAGATGAAGAAAGTGGTTATAACAAAAATCTATTTTGCGTTCCTAAGCATTATGAAGAAGATCTAGAAAGAGTCTTCATTCCCCATGGACTCATCCTAGACAGGTATGAGGGTAAAAAACAAAGATTAGTGATAGTGATACCAATGATCCATTTCCCTCCAAACAAAAAGACAGAGGCCCTACCCTGCATAGACTACGAGAAACATGGAAACCCTGCAGCTGCAACACTTGTGTTCTGAAGTGTAATTCAAGAGGAGTTTTAAGGCGAGGATTCCTCTACAACCCCAGTTAAGTTTCCATGATGTCTCAAATATCTTTAAGGTTTCCTACCCTGAATTGTTTAGATCTATGGATTAAATCAACAGTATGTCAAGTGGAGTAGGCAACATCTTGTGAAATTCAAATATATAATTAACTTTGTCTTAATGTGGTCACAATTTGCTGGTTATAAAAACCTAACAGCAAGATCAGCATTTTAACTTGGACGTTGCTTAATATATGGACAAACAAATATGAGATAGATAGATAGATAGATAGATAGATAGATAGATAGACTTTACCGGATTTGTTTTTTTATCTTTCCAGGACAGAACGTTTGGCTAGAGATATCATGCAAGATATGGGAAGCCATCACATCGTTGCACTCTGTGTCCTTAAAGGAGGCTATAAATTCTTTGCTGACTTGCTGGACCATATAAAAGCACTAAATCAAAATGGTGATAAATCTGTGCCTATTACTGTGGATTTTGTTAGAATAAAAAGCTACTGTGTAAGCAACTTTCTGTTCTTTGGAAAATTGATTCTCCCCGTAGATTGACATTCTGAATGCTGGTAGTTTACATGAAAACTCCACAAAAATTGAGTTCATGCATATAGCCTGTTCAAAGCAACCCAATTCACTATATACTGAAGAGCAACTCATTTACTGATCTGCCCCGCCAATCAGATGGATCTTGTGTATTCACTGGAATGATCATATAGGATAACACTTAACAGGACAAAGCCAGGGTCAGGTCTCCAACATCCTCCTCTCCAGCCCAAAGCTTCCATACAGGTTCTGTGCTGTCTTTAATATGGCACCCTTTGGTGGGAGGGAGTATGGCGAGAAGCTTAGCAGCAGAAACTTGCTTATTGTCTGTCTGCATTATTTTGTTATTTATTGGAGAGACTAGTTTTCATAATCTGTGTGTGGGGAACAGGTCCTATAAATTTTTCATGGAATTCTAAAACAAATCTATAGTAACAAAAATAGTTGAAAGCAATGGTGTCTATTCCATGAACACGGATGTACCATTGTTCCATGCAAACATCTGTCTGCACTGATACTTCACTCTCTTCTTGCTCTCAGCTACTTAAAAGCTGTTTTACTGAAGGAGTGCTGCATAAAGTTGCAAGTGACATGATAGGAGAAGCAAGAGCAGCACATCATTCATACATATATAACACTTTTGAGCGTCTTTTATGTGACTTCCCTCTCTTCTTTCTCTTAGAATGATTCACCTACAGAAAAAATCAGTATTGTTGGTGAAGAACTGTCTACACTAAATGGGAAGGTATGAATTAGCATCCTCAGCTTCTAAAAGGAAAGAACAGATCTTGTGTCTCTGGTCTGTCTCAAGATTTTGAGGCTACATATTTACAGCCACTTAATACTGGTTTAAAATGCCATGCTTTGAAACAGTGACTAATTTTGACTGATCTCAGGGGAAACTTAACGTGATCAGTACTGAATGTTGCTAAAGATCCTGTTCCACATTTTATCCCCTAACTCCCAAAATGAACCACCTCAAACTGATTCATGCAGTATGGTTCTAGAATGTTATTCCTATACATAGAATACTATATAAAACCTGACATAGGTGACTTTCTCACAGTATTTCATGCTTCCATAAATACTTAGACTCTTGTAGGAAGCACTAAAATAATGCAAGTAGTTAAGTGACAAGCTGCTTTGAAAATCATTCGCAACCTACATGTAACTGAAGCAAACCCATTTTTTTCTGGGTGAATAATTCACTGAATGTTGCCATGTAAATATTTTCTTTTCTTTCTCTCCCTACACGATCTTCTCCAGAATGTGTTGGTAGTAGAGGTAAGTAAAGATTGGAGTGTGGGGGGAGGGAACAACATGGACTTTTTTTCTCCCCATTCTTCAAGTTAGTATGTATTGCATGCAAAACAACAATTAAGTATGTTACTGTGCTGCTAGGTTTGCTAACTGGTTTAAATTAAGCTGAATGCTTTAAATTAATCCACTGACTGTTTTTTCTTTCAGACTCAGAAGATACTTTTTTATTTTTTTTTTTAATTTCTTTCAGGACGTTATTGAGACTGGTAGAACAATGAAAGCACTACTTTCAAAACTAAAAGACAACAAACCAAAGATGGTAAAAGTTGTAAGGTATAATGATATGGCCACTGACTAATGCACTGTAATGAGAAGATATAGCAAAATCATTTAGGTGAATAGTCAGTGTATACTGGAGGGTGTTGGGGGTGTTTGGTTTGAAATTTGTCAGAAGAGGAAGTAAAAGTAGGAAGCAATCCTCATCCAGCTGGTGACAATAAACATAAGTATTTATTAAACTGGGAAATTCACATATGCACTACCACCTTTACTGGTAAAATGAAATGGCTATTTTTGTGTAAAGTCTGACAGATACCCTGTTTCTTACCTCCTTATGTCTGCAGAAAATTCAGCTCTTTCCATGGGTTTCTTAACATGTTGTCAGTTGCCTCAATACTAGATTGACAACACTCAGAAGTTTTCCCAATATCCTCAGTCATACAGGTTTTCCAGAACCTAAGAGTTTGTCAGCACTTGCCAGACAACTTCAAGTGGCATTCTAGATCTGCTTTTAGATGATCTCTAAAAAGGGATGTTTTGTGGAATATCCCTGTCTCTGTCAAGTAATAGCCATGCTTTGAAAAAATGCTTCTTGCTTTATGTATCAGTTATGCTCCTCCTAGCGACAGTCCAAGAGGTTCTCTGTTTCTTCAGAAGTGCACAGTAAAAGCAAGGACAGATATGACTGTGAAAGAAATTATAGTAACGTTGTACATCTTGTCCTCTTCTCCCTCCCTCCCTGCTAAAATCTTTACATGTCACTTGGACTTGCTTACCTGTCTGTGCTATTCTAGTTTGCTGATACCTTGCTACATGAAAAAATGATGATTCAGTTTACAGAATTGAAGAGAATTAAAGGTAAAATAGAATCAGTTTGACCTTCAGAATGAACCTAGATCAGCATCTTCGCTTCTTCCTCAATTATAAAGCTGAACACTACTTCTTTCTGTTACAATAATCTCATTGTTTTAACTGCATGACTGTAGAAGCTTATGGGGAGGAGTGGGAGAAGTGAAGTATACAGCTTAGACAAGTTATATTTTAAAAACCATAACCTTCTCTGCTCTGCCTTACAGCCTGCTTGTTAAAAGGACCCATCAAAGTCCAGGTTACAGACCAGACTGTAAGTGTTGTGTTTTTCTGGTTGTCCAAAATATGAGCTCATAATTTCACTTCATGCAGTAAGTCTGACAACTAGCATATAAATTTCAGGAAGGCCAAGAGAAATGGGGAGAAAATACATAAAAACTTGTAAACTGATGACCAGCCATCTCATGATGAAACCTCATGACCACCACCTTTTTTTTTTCTTTTTTTCTTTTTTTTTTCCCCCAGTTAGTCTGTGTGCAGGTTTGGCTACTTGTTACCAGATCCCAAAAAGAGAACAAAACCTTAACTTTGTACTTTTTGGCTTTGACCCTAAACCGCCTTTGTTTTGATCCTTCATTAAACCTGCCTTGCTTTCATCTGAAAATCCCTACTGAGTTGCAGTGCATTTACTGTTACACAAGTAAAATCTCATTCCTTGTCTCTCCCATCAAGGACTACATCATAAGTACATTTTAAATACTTCTTCTTCTTTTTTTTTTTTTTTTAATGCATTCTCTTAAAATTGAATAGTGTTACTACTGATGGGAATGTTATAGATTCTAACCTTTTTCATCAATTTATGGCTTTGATTTTTAAAGAAGCATGTCAAGTACTTTGAAAGCAAGATGATGTATTTGTTAGCTATTACTCTTGAATAGTTGAAGCATGTGTTGAATACAAACTGTGTACTTAAAAGGTATTTACACCACCCAGGTATAAAAAGAATTATATTTTCTTACAGATATAGGCTTTGAAATTCCAGATAAATTTGTGGTTGGATATGCTCTTGATTATAATGAATACTTCAGAGATCTAAACGTAAGTACACACATCTGTGCCTCGGCTGTTACATATGTGACTGTTACCACAGGTAACCAGCAAGAATATTAGCTTACACTTGGAGCTTTTCAACAATTGGCAAAACTTAAAATCTGACTAGAAACTTCCATTAAAAGGGCAAAAACATTATTAAAGTGCCAAACTGATAATTCAGTGTAAATGCATAAAAAATTCTTTATGCCTTACTTTTTATGAATCTATGCCACAAGCCTTGTGGCCCAGCCATGCTGTACAATTCTGAATCCTCCAGGGTGGTTGGCAGCGTACAATCTGTGGGCCCCATCTGAAAAGAAAGTAACTTGTAATTCGGCTTTAATTTAATGTTTGCCTGTCTTAATGAAATCCAGTGTTGCCCTTTTGTAGTGAAGTCTTTAAGATGGCCATGTGTGGACTGCGTGTGAAGGTTTTTCCTACACCGTATAACACGTCCATCAAGATCTTTTTTCATTTGCTCCATTAGTCTCCTTAGGGAGCACTGAATAGTAGAGTTGGAAAGAGCATAACTGATAGAAAGAGCTGATACCTTTATTTTTCCTCCTTAATTTTCAAAAGTACTTTCTTAATTCTGGTTAAGTGGAAAAGCTTTTCACTTGAAAGTCTTTTTAGCAAGACTAACAGAACTGGTTTGTCTAACAGAACTGGTTTAAGACACACACTGCATCTATGCTATTGCAAAGCAATATGAAGAATAATGCAATAATTGAACAAATCTGACCTCTTTAGAATGTACAAATCTATAAATTACAGATGAGCTTGGAAGCAATATTAACATCTCAATTTTACTGCAAGTAGTAAACTTGCAACCAGACTTGCAAAGCTTACTGTTCTGGTGTGTTTTCCTTACAATGCTAGGAATACAACTGAAAATCATTCTTACATTTTCTTTGAAAGAAAAGATTGACTAAAGGTGTATTTTTATTTTTTGTTTTAGCACATCTGCATTCTGAAAGAGAAAGCCAAAGAGAAATACAGGATCTGATAATATCGGTCTTCTGGAACAACAGTTCTGTGGCATGTACAGCTGTATAGATCAGTAATAAGTCATCTGCTAATTGTATTCTTTCCACTGAAGAACTACACTTTCTGAAGATACTATTCTATGTATTTTTTTTCCTATAATGATTATGTAAAACACCTTAAATGTGAATGAGTTCTGTTCAAGTTTCACCGAAACCTGAACAGAACACTGGCCATAAACTGGATATTATATTCTGCTGGAATCACAGGGGCCACAGCCAGGACATGTACATGTGTATGTAATTATATCTGGGTTTTCATTTACCATATGAAGTAACACATTATGTGTATTGTATATAAACTGCACTTATTTTTACCTGTGAGGTTGTGTGTGTAAATATATACACGTTTTATGTAACAAATAAGCATTTAAGGACTTGTTAATTAAGTCAACTAAACAAGGTGCATACTACACAGAAAACACATTTGGTTCTTTAGCATAATATAACGGAAAAAAGAAGTAAGCAATAAGGTAAGTACATTGCAATTAGTTCTTATACCTTCCATGCAACCTGGGGTGTTGTCTTTTGAGGGATCGTGTTGATTCTACCAGTGTGGTGTTAGTTGAAACGCAGGTAACGCTGATTACTAGCTGTTAAGGCTAGATGATAAACTGTTATAGCAGGAAATTACTTCTGCTACTTGTCTGTCTCGAACGAGAACTGGAAGCTAAATTCTACCACTCAGAAACCTGCACCAAGCTTGAGGCACTCTTGACACCTCATTGTTTCCTACGTGTACTATATGATTAAAATAAGCTGAGACCTTGGCAGGTCTTTTCCCCGCTGTGAATTGAGTACTGAGCTAGGCGTCTGTGTTCAACAGGGCCCGCCGCTGTCCTTTAGCTTTTAAGCCCTGGGCTACAGCTGCCCAGGCTGTGACGGGTCCGTGAGGGTGTTTTCTAGAGCCCTGAGAGCCGGGGGCCGTGATGTGTCCTGTTACCCGCCCCTGAACACGGGTGAGAGGAGGTAAGCTAGTGCCCGTACGAAGGGGAACTTTTACCTAAAAGCTCACTCTGGAGCCCAGCGCCACCCGCTCGCGGCCGCTGCCGCCTCTGCCCCTCTCAGGGCGGGCCACGGACGCCGCTGGCGAGGCGCGATGCCAAGCCGCCCCGCGGGTTTCTGGTCCTGCCAGCTGGAGCGAGGACAGCTGGCAGCTAACGCCGCCCTTCTCCGGGTAAGTGCCGCCCGGGGAAATGACCGTGGTGGCGGTGGCGG